CCGTTCCTCGGCGTGGGGGCACGGGATGGCGCCGAGGTCAGCGCTGGGGCTGGGAGGAGGGTGTGAGCAAATTGACCGTGAATTAGCGCGTGGAAGAATGAAGTTCTTACTGGTTTGGTCTGTTCCAGTTCAAAATATCCCAAACCTTTTCAGTTCTGGAAAGGAAGCGCTTGTTTCTGTGTGAGATAAGTGATTTGTTTTCCTTTCTCTCTTGACTATCGTAACCTTTGTTGCCTTACATTGGTGTTACAGCTCAGCTTTGTCTCCAGAAAAAAATAGAAGTTCACGAGTGCACTGTTCACATGCACAAGACATTCTTCTGCCCCCTCCTCAGATTGTCTGTCCCCTGCCCCCAAGAATTTCACATCTGTTGGCCACCACCAGCTGAGTCTAGTCGATAGATATTTTTGAATATATCAAGTTCCTGAAGATTTCCTGAAAATCTGAGTTTAAGGAGAACAGGGACATCCAGTTGCTTTGCCTGACAAAAATGCCACTAGATGAGTTCGACAGTGTTATTAGACACCAGAGAGCAGGGGGAGGCACTGTTGGAGGCATTATTTCATCCCACAAAAAGCATCTTTTGGGACTTTGATCTCACCACATCTAGCTGCTACTCAAGCCATGAGACACGAAGTCATGGGAAGCCAGGCTTAATAAATTCTGCTGCTACTCAGAGAAGTGCTTGTTAAGTACTTGAAAGATGTTCAGATACTGTTGTGAGAGGCAAAAAACCAGAGGGACTTTATTGCATTAATTTTCAAATGTTTTTTCTAAAACTTAAATGTCAAGTTTTAAATTCTCTACTGGGACACTTTGTAGTCATACATTCATATATATGAATCCACTCATAAGGTTTAGTCTTGCTTCGGTCTTATGGGAAAACATGAATACACAAAAGGATATAAAACATGTATAATAAACACACACCAAAAATGAAACATACTGTTTAACTTCTAAGAATTATATCTTTTATAGTACAAAATATGAAAAAAATGTGAATTTGTTAGCATCTCTTTATTGCTAAAGACAGTACAAGTGGCTCTTAAGTGAGAATTGGGTAAAGAAAAGTGTGTTATTTGCAGAGTTTTGATGACCCTCGTTTTAACTTGCATTTTTGAAATAATTCCAAAAGCGCCTGAATGACAAGGTATGCAAGCTCAAGAAATACTTTCAAGAGCTTTTCCACCCAAGTCCACGTTACTTACCTTCCCTAATCTGTGAGTCCTTTTCATAGCTGTTACTTGGAGGTTTGTTTGGGGATTCTTCTGGTTTTTGTTTGACATGAAGAAGATTGGCAAGATGGGAAAACTGCGTTCCCGCTGACTGGCCTTATTTGTAGGAGCTTTACTTTGAGAAGCTGAAAGTGGTTACATCTTAAAACACTTTGAGATGTTGGAGAGTTCCATGGGAAAATGGAGAAAATGGACATGAGCTCAGAGGTTGCAAGGAGTAGCATTGTCCATCAGAGCAGTGTTTGGTGCACTCTGCTGCACTTGGTTGTAGTAGCTGCCTGTTTGGCATTGATCACATTACTCCTATTAAATGTAGGAATTTCAGAAAATGGCACACGTGGAAGTCTTTACTTCTTGAAGTGTTAAGTCTTGCAAAATAAATCCTCCAGTCAGATATTTTTCTTAAAAGAAAGAAGGATCACTTCAGTAAGCAAATGTACAGTCAGTACTTCATCACTACTGTCCTGCTTTAGTGACCATTGTGTCCCTTTGGGTGAAGAGGAGAAGTGAATTTGACACTCTTTGGATCATGCCTCAGGAACCCAGTTATATGAAATACTGAGCAGCCTCAAGTCCCACAGAAATCAGTCTGAAATTGAAGTACTTGAAGTTTTGAGTGATCAAATGCCAGAACCTTTAACTGAATGCCAAGTGCAGTTTTGGGGTTTCCTCTGTTTGTATCATTGCTGCTAATGGCAGTGAAATAAAAGGCAAATAGTACAGAATTCATTTGTGAGGTTCTCTATTTTTGTCATCAAAATGGCCCAGAATTATCTCAGCTTGCCTTCCAGTCCCTGCATTGGGTTTAAAAAATTAATAGCAAAGAGAACTCACTTTCTAGAGAAAGTGAATACATTTGCCTCTGATTCATGCAAGCATAAATGATGCTTTCACAGTCTTTTGTCAGAGGTGGGTGAAAGTGTTGAATTCAGAGCTTATTTAGGCAGCTTACTTTAATCTGTATTTTTTAAAAAGTTAGTTTTGGGTAAACCGGAGAGCTCTTAATTTTTGAGTGGATTCTGGAACATGAAGTGCACGATGCATATATTTAAATTATCCATACCACCCTCTCTGTTAATTCCCTGTATCCCCTGATTCTGTAGAGTGTAACGTATGTCCTCGAGTCTGTTTTTTACTGACTTGAACCAGAATACTGATCCATCAAATAGCATGTGTTGAACACCTCATAGATATTTCAAGCTTTGGTTCCTTAGTTCTTGAGTAGACCTGTTGGACTCAAATTGTATGAAACATGAGTACTACTTTTCTATGAGTCCTGCTCCATAGTTGCCACCAAGGAGCACAATGACATGTGCTTGTTCTAAAGTAAGATAAGTGCTTAAAATCATTAGAACATTGTTTTGAAAAGTTTTTCATGACATCATCCCAGTAAGATAGTGGGTCTACAGTGCAATGGTTCCTCTTCAGCCCTGAGGTTAGTTCTTTGAGCTAACACATTGTGTTCCATGTTTGCATGTCTTTTGCTGAGTAGACCCCTCTGCTGTAGCACGTTTGCCATAAATTAATGTGTGTCCTTTTGCAGTGCAATAGACAGGTTATTTCTTTAGAGGGGGGAAAAAAATACATTACAAAGTTAAATTATCACTGAATTGTTACAGAAGAAGCTGCTCCTGGAGAAGCAGATGGTTGTGTTCTCTGCTTTCTTTAAAAGTTGATACAGACCTACTCTCGTGTACGTGCATCTTACTGAGGTCAAGTACTCAGTTTAGTGGTAGTTCAACTTAGGGGTTTTTTTTTCAGCAATGCTTTAAGAGAATGTCAGAAAGTTACAATTCAAAAAACTAGGAATGAAATTTTTTCTTTCTAACAATGGCCAGTGAGAAAGATGAAGCGTAATAATATGTTTTTTGTGACAATTCTAAAACTGAATGATTTTTTTCTTTCACATTTAAAGGAGGAGTCAAGGCTGGATGTTCTGATAAATAATGCAGGGGTATTCCAGTGTCCATACATGAAGACGGAGGATGGTTTTGAGATGCAATTTGGTGTAAACCACTTGGGTCACTTCTTGCTCACCAACCTTCTTCTGGGCCTTCTCAAAAATTCTGCTCCGAGCAGGGTTGTTGTAGTATCCTCAAAGCTTTACAAATATGGAGAGATCAACTTTGAAGACTTGAACAGTGAAATAAGTTACAATAAAAGCTTTTGTTACAGTCGAAGTAAACTGGCTAATATATTATTTGCAAGGGAGCTAGCCCGTCGGTTGGAAGGCACAGGAGTCACCGTCAACTCTCTCCATCCTGGGATTGTCAGAACAAATCTAGGCAGGCACGTGAATATTCCTTTGCTGGCCAAACCCCTGTTCAACTTGGTGTCATGGGCTTTCTTCAAAACACCTCTGGAAGGAGCCCAGACTTCTATTTATTTGGCCTCTTCTCCTGATGTTGAAGGCGTGACAGGAAAATATTTTGGAGACTGCAAAGAGGAAGAACTCCTGCCCAAAGCTATGGATGACTTGGTTGCAAGAAAGTTGTGGGATATCAGTGAAGTGATGGTTGGCTTATTGAAGTAAGTGCCAGGGGGTGTCTGCAAAACAGAGTGCAGATAACTATGCAATGCATTTTTACAAAAGTGAAATTCTCACTTTAAATGCTATGGGAATACAGAGTATGTTGCTCAATAAGTATGAAATAAGGGAGTGGTTTATGTTGGAACTGTTTTGAAATAAAAGACAATCTTCAACAGAGATAGGCATTCACAAAAGTCTGAAATACAGTTTATGGGTGTGAATATAATTTATCATTAAATCTGCTTGGAAACTCATGTTTTACAAATAAAAACTAAACAGAACTGTGTTTTGCAATATATATGCATATTTCTCATGTTCCACTACTTGCAATCAGCCTGGAAAATGCAAGGTACTGATGGTGAAACACTTCTGTAAAAAATGTGAAAATAAGTCCTAATAATAGAATTATCGTCTTTTTATGAGCCATCAGAATAATACATGGAATAAAGAATTTTACTGATATCTTGCACTGTAATTGTTGAGGCCTCTGAGTTCTGTTCAAAGGCTTGACAGCTCCATGGTTCAGTAAACAGAACTGTTGAGCCATGTGCAGTTCTGCTGTGAAGCACAAAGTCAGCTATTTTTAGTGGTGTTGCTGCTGTTCAACGTGTAAGTACAGTTGGTTGTGCAAGCTGTATTTTTATTTTCATATGTACTGAACTTGCTGTTTCTTGAAACCTTGGTTTTCATTAAAAGGATAGTTGCAAGATGTATTATGGTCTTTATAGGGCTTTGCATGGCACAAATTGTGTGCATACAAAGTTTGTAAGACCTCACCCAGATTAGACCGAAGAATCTCAGTTTGTGTGTTTGCCTTGACTGATGGCACTTTAACTAAGTAATGTTCTGTAAATCTGTCTCGTACAGCTACTGAATATTCCTTAATAAAATCCTGTAAAAAAAGACAGCATTCATTCTTTCATTGTGGGAGATGTATCAGAAACCAGCAGGCTCAATACAGCAGCCTTGTATTAAAGCAGAAGATGAATCTGTGTTGGTTTAGGGAGTCTGTTGTGTGAGGTTGGTAGAAATAAAATGGGCTGCAAACAAATACATGGGTTTTGCATGAATTCACGTAACTTAGGGGTTTGTATTGACGTTTATGTCTTTTTATTTTGCTCTACATTACTAAAAAGTTCTAGTAGTTAAATAGTATAAATTTAGTATAAATATGGAAGAATAATTTAGAGTGATCTATGTTAATATTACTTAAAGGAGAATCAATAATAAAAAATGTATTCAGTAGTGCTTACATATAAATACATCAGTTCTGCCACTCAGGTGGCAACCAGCTAAATTTTTTAGATTCTTTCTCTGATTGTTTACTCAAACTCAGCATATTTTAGGGTTTGCACAGTGGAATGGACTTGAGCTTGCCTTACCCTTTACTAGCAAGATTGAGTGCTGGGCAAGTGACTTGGGTAGGGCAGAAAACAGCGTTTCAGAAAATCAAAAGGCAAGCTACAAAGCAGAGCAGGTTTTTAAAATCCTATAACATGTTGAGCTTTGAACTGCTCAAGACAAGGTGTAGAGGTGGATGTGTTGTCAAAGCATACTCTGAGTGTTAACAAAGTTCTCTAAGTGATGCCAGAGGGAGTTGTGCTCAGAGAAGTCCTGCTTTGATCGTCAGTGTTGCATTTCACATTTTCATTTTAAATACTCGTAAATGGTTGCACGCAGCACCTTTAACAGGTAGCTGAAGAATGAAAAGTTCATTAACATTAACTTCTCTATAAAGAGATCCAGAGAAGCTGAGCCAAACCTGGGTTTGTGTTTCAATAGTACTGAAGAAATATTAAAGGAACACTAGTGTTGTTTCTCTGCTGAAATGTGTATACGTCTTCCAAGGAAAGCCTTGGATACAAAGGTGGAGAACGGAGAAGATGGTTAACCTGAAAATACTGTAGTAAAGAACTGCACTGAAACTGCCTGAGGAGCAGAGAGATACATAATTTTTAGACTGAATAACCAACATAAAATGTACACTTGCCTTCAAAGCAGCAAAGGTGGATTTGTACTGAAATGAGAGATGCAGAATAGGAAGTCCCAGTTGTGTGTAAGAGGCCATCCTTCATACATCTAACGGGTATTTGTTTTTATATTCTTTTGAAACATTGTGGAAATAAGAGCCATTGTCAGAGAGGGATTACATTCCTGTAATCATAACTAAATTACAGTCCTTGTTCCAGAGTAGGGTAATCATTAATGAACCCTTAATGGAATATTAATGAATTGGTATAACCTGAAAACAATTTAAAAGGATGGATCGTTATGGACTTTTAGAAAGGTAGGCTTTTTCAACATCTGAAATATGTCACTTTCAAGGTTGAATGTCATTTAACTGCTGTGGACTAGAAAACTTTGATTGCTCCCTTGAGACTGCTGTTAATGTGTATGTGATGACTTTGTCATTCAAGTAGCATGTAGGAACTGGAGACCTCACAGGTCAACAGATCTTGCAAAATCTAAGCGCGAAATCGAAGAATAGCCCTTCTGAGTAATGCTTACTCAGTCTAGATTAGAACCAAGCAATTTTGACTGAGGAAGTAACTTCTCCCCTCCCCTCCTGCCCCCTTCCCTCCCCTCCTGTCCCCTCCCCTCCCATCCTCTCCCTTCCCCTCTCCTCTCTCTATACGAGCTCAGTAAACTCAGATATATGTGTATGATTTGAGAACTGTCAGCTGAATGACTCCTCTTGAAGCTGGTAGAGGGTAAACTAAGAGACTAGCACCTTCACACTTCACCCCAGTATAACAGTGTCTCCAGAATGATGTGGCAAGCTCTCTATATTACTGTTGTATAACCAATTTCTATCAAGAGCATGCAGCTAAAACTTGCATTCCAATTGCCTCTTTTCATCATCACCACCCTATGAGCACCACTCTCCTCATATTAAACTTATTTCTCATGAAGAATTAAAGTTTTTAAAATAAGGGTGAAAGAGGAAGACAGCAACCAGGAATATCAGGCAAAGCCCATGGAATGCAGCTTTCGTTGGCAGCTGCAGACACTGACCACATTGCTGGCAAGTACCTTACAGATAAGGAAGTGCAGATATATAACTACAGATAGATAAATACAGTTAAGGAAGCCACAGCTGAGTTTAAGATGTTGTTGAAGTCTCTGATAAACATAAATGTTACAAGGCAAGTTTTCCAAACCCAAAATGTACCTTCAGCTATCTTACATAAATTGTTAGAATTTGGGTGTTTGATTGTGAGTCCACCAGCAGTGCTGGGCCAGTGCTCCAGACTTGTACCCAGGGGATTTGAAAGCAGGCTGGGATGTATACAGGGCACAGTGACTCCTGAGGATGTAGCCCTGCCCTTTTACTTTTCACAGGGGAAGTGCCTCTGGCCTGCCATAGCTGGGAGGTGGAGGGCCACAGCAGAGATTAATTCTGACTATTTGCAAACTTTCCCCACTGGAGCCTTTGGCCAGTCTCAGCAATGGGTAGAAATGCTTCAAGGGGGCCCCTTATCTCAGTGGTCACATTTTGTATGACAACAACATCGCAGAATAACTGCATTCTAAAAGGCTTATTTTAGAATTGGTTTATGAGAATGTATGTGTATGCAAACAAGTATGCAGGTGCAATTTAATCTCTCATTTTGAAAGACAGCCAGGAAGAGCTGTCAGTGATTTACCAAGGAGCTGAGGGTTGTTAGCATAGGAACGTCACTGGCTGCTGTGCTGCTGTGGTATGTGATGAGGCATTGGGCTGGGGACAGAGCTGTCAGGCTCAGTGCTGAGCTCAGATGCTTAGAGCCACATCCAGGTATACAATACCCACTGTCTGCTTTTGCAGCTGGAGAACACACAGACATAGCTGGGGGAGAAAGCATCTCCATGTAAGGGTCAAGAGAAACAGGCTTCAGATGTCTTAAGGGAAGCACTTTTTAACTGCTTCAGTATCATTTATTCAACTTTGGCTATGGTGCTTTTGAAAGCACCCCTTTTACCAATTTCTGTCATGGGCATATCAAGAACTTAAGAAAGAAAAATTTACTTTTGTTTGTTTGTTTGTTTCTTTATTTTGATTCTCAGTCACAGGCCCTAGGTATGAGCCAATCCTCTCTGCACATATGTAGCTATTATAGCTGAGGTTTCTGCAAGTGAACTAAATTGCTGTTGCATGTATTTGGTTTATATGCCCCATCTGTTTAAGCCAAGGGAGACTTAGGTACTTTTTTAAAAAAATACTCTATGTCACCAATTTACCTTCCTTAACTTGCCACAGGACAGCATCTATCCCCAGGCAAAGGGACAACTCTGTTCTTTCAGTTACTCCAGTCAGCACAGCAGGCAAGCTTATAAACCCAGTGGGGGTTCTCCAGTAAAAATTCTCCATCTTAATGAGATAAATGATAATTTTTTCCATGATGCAATAAAAACAGAAGTATTTAAACTCTCCTCTCTTCAATGGTTGGCTGCTTTGCCTAAGCTTCCTACTAAGTGAATACTTCACAGGCTTCAAAGCCTGAGCCCTGTGAATGTGCGGTGTGATTATGCTTTTGCTGAAAAATGTGGATAATTCCCACTTCAAGCACACTTAATTTTTTTCCACCTAAGGCTATAAAGAAAATAAACAACTTGCAAGAGTCATGCAAATAACTTTAAAATGGAAGGCCTGTTCCCTTTTTCACATAACTTTTTCCAAACTAATCATTTAGAGAGTAATTGACTTGCAAAACGATCCAGGAGGCCTCCACAGTTGAATTATTATTTTTGATCTGTCCCAGAATGGTGCTGCTATTTCTCATAACAGAAAATGACGACCTCCCTCAAGACTTACTGCTTTAGCTACCACTAACAGTCTCACACCTGTCGTAACTGGATTCAGATCAGAGAAATTAATTTGAATAGTTAATTAATTCCAAATGTCCTATGTAACATGGAGAAAGGAGTGCTTTCCTAATTGCCTTTTGGGGGGAAGCCTGGCACACTGACCACCTAACAAGGTTGATAGGCCATTCTTGCTACATTGAAGAATGATCAGGTAATGTGCAAGAAACTTAATTAGTCTGCATAAAGGAAAGAATCAGTAGGTTATTAGCCATGAAAGATTCAGGAGGATGTCACATGCTCAAAATCTCTAATAATCACTTCAGCAAGGTACTGACCTTTTCTCACCATCTGCTGCATGGCCAAAGCAAGCAGTCTGGAATCATGATCTCACTAAAAGCACTGGGAGTCAGCTACCTAAATATTTTGCTGATCTTGATCTCCCAGCTTTAGGTTTGGGCAGTGGATCCCTTACAGCCAGTTGGATGATGATTCATTCAAGCTTGATGAATGAGGCTTTATGCACTTCTGTGTATGTATGGCATTTTTCAAGAAATACTTCACAAATTGTGGAATTATGGGGGTGGGTTAGGGGTGGCAATAACAGTGTTATGTATATATTAAATATCCTGTGACATTTTCCAGAAATGTGAGTGTTTTTTTCTCCAAAGGAGTGTTAGCCCATCTCTGCAGTTGTTGGGCTGTCTGCCAGTTTGCCACCTAGACTGCAGTCTGATGATGTTACTTCAGACTATCTAAGCCCTGTTTTAACCTTCTCCAAGGTTAAAACTCAGTGTCCTGAGTCCTCCTAAGTCACTGCATGACCACCCACTCTCCAAATGCCATCTTCCCTTGAGACAAGCAATGCCAGGGACTTCCTAGATGCTTCAAGAAAAGGGTCATCAGCAGCATCTGCAAAAAGGCAAGTGACCCACCTGGAGGCTCAGAACCTACATGCACTGCAACAGCTAAGTGATATCATTTTGTATACTCATTTACAGACAGAAACACCTTCTCTAGTGTACATGGATAGGTATTTTAGACTTCAGCCTGCCCTGAAGGCCTGTTATATACAGTACTGTAGGAGTATCCCATGGTAAATTGAAAAC